AATATTATTATTGTTGTCTTAGATGGGCTAACTAATATTTTGCATGCTGCAGAAAAAGTAGGACAAACGGAAAGAGTTGCCATTATGATCGAAGAAGTAGGAGGGTTAGATAAATTAGAAGCTCTTCAACATCATCCAAATGAGCAAGTTTATCAAAAATCCATGGCTATAATCGATGCATTTTTCTCTCAAAAGGTTTATATATTTCTATTTTTTTATAAATCAAAAATAACTTATATTGAAAAATATTTTGCTCTTAGATAATTTTACATATTATCCTGATAAGTAAATCCCATAATTTTATAAATATAAGAAATACAATCTTATTTTTATAGTAAATTAAATGGTATTAACCATATTTTAAAAATATTTATGATTTCTTTCTGACAAAGAAAAAAAATTATTTTTTAGGATATTGAAGAAGAAATTGTTAGTTCCAAAATTAAAGAGAATGCTGATGGACAGATTGAATTTAATATGGAGGATTCACCAATGAATAAGTTTAATTTTTGAACACATTTCTATTTGGTCTATCTAGATTAAAATAATGTAGGTTAGAGAATTTATCAATACATAAGAAATTTGATTATTAATTTATTATAGTTCATAATGATAATTGCCATAATAAAAATTAATGATACTTAATCAAATTTCAATATTTGAACAAAAAAATTGTAAAAAGATAAAAAAGAGAATTTTCAGCGACAATTAACAAACTATGCGTGTATACGATTTTGAATTTGAACATTAATATTTTTTTTTATATTTTTCATATTTTAAGATTGAAATTGATTAAACAAAATTTAATTTTGATAATTCAATCTCGTATTCTAAATATTTTTAGACATATATGAAATTGTTATTACATTAAGACTTTTACTAGCTCATTGTATTTAATATATTTTACAAAAATTTGTATTATGCATTTTCTCATTTTTGACATTACAATTCAAGTTAGTTACAATAAACCATCAAGCCTTAATTCTAGAAAAAACATTTAAAGCTATTTTTTTTATTTTTATAATTTCATGTTTTATTTTTTCACGTTTTACATAAGATTACTGTATCAAATTTCAATTTTCTTTTAATGTGTTTTTATCATTCGATTCGTTTCTTTACAAATTAATTTATAAACTATTGAAGAAATATTTAAGAAATAAATATCGTGATAATTTGTATAAAATTCATAATTAAGATTAACAATCAATGTATTTTATTAAATGTTATCTGTAAATTTCTTGTATTATATATAACTTTATAGTTTAATTTTTTAATAAAATGAGATAAATATTTTCATAGATTTTGTAATATTATTGAATCATAACGTGCCAAAAAACAGATATAATTTTAACATTATTGCTATAAAAAGGAATGTGATAAATTATATAACATGTTTGTTATATGAAACATACATCAACTATTATTTCCTACTTATTGAATATTATATAAATATTATAGATTACTGCAAATGAAATAATTATCTATATGTGCGTGCGTGTGTGTGTGTGTGTGTGTGTGCGTGTGTGTGCGCGCGCGCGCATATGTATTTCTTTTATTATATATATATATATATATATATATAGCGAATAGCCATATAAAAATGTAAATAGTCCTCAGATAGTAAAAGATTGGAGACATAAACAATTAACAGATGGGGAACCGTTATGGTTATGCAGATTAAGATCCGATTCCACAATTTACTTCAACCGGAGTGTAATTCATAAAATTTGATTCAAAGAAAAGTTGCGTTCCATAGTTACTTTAAGTTTCAATTAATGTTGATTTCTTTTTTTAATTAGAATTTTAATTTAATTTTTTTTCTTATACAGGAAATTATAAATAATTGTACTATATGGTATTTCAAATTTATTTGAAGTATATTTTATTTTTATATTATTGATCTATTTTACTTGATCAATTTTCTACAATTTATAAATAATTATTCATAAGAAATTAAATTGGATACGTGATAAAAAATCAATCGATTAATAAGTCAATTAATAAATATATAATCGATCTATTATGTTTATAGCACATATTTTTTGTATGAAAAAAATAAGATATAATATTTATTATATTGTTCATAATTTTTTAAATAAAATAATAGATATTTAAATAATTTTTAATGATTTTGTTATTTTACCATGAATCAATATTTTTTATAATGATTTTTTTTATGATAATTCTTTCAAAAAATAGAAAATGTCGAAAAAAATGTAGCAATTATACATATATTTTTAAAGTTATATTATATGATATTTTTCAAAATTTATTTATTTGTTAAATTGCATACTAGGAAAATCAGCGTAGAAAAATTATATTAAACATTTTCTAATAATCGCTAGCACAAAGAACAAAGTTCATTAGAACAAAGTTCGCTTTGCATACAAAGTTCAAAAAATTTAAGAAAGTGACTAGTTTTGTTCTTATGTGTGAAGAAAAGTATTTTTTTAAACTATATCTACATATTTAATACATGTATATAAAATTTTTGTATTATTTGTAATATACCGATGTAAATATCGATTTATATCAACACATCAAAAAAATGTTGCTTTAATTATGAGAGATAAAAAAATACTTGTCCTACCTTTAATATTATAAAAATCATAGATAATTGCCGACTAATTTAGTCAAATATTTTTTTTTGTTTCAAATATATCAATAAGATGTTCATAAGTAATATTATTAATATTTCGTTAAATGTTCAATCTGCATATTATCGACCCAATATAAAATCACTTTGATCGTTGACCAAGAAATGATAAACAAATGCAGCCTTTTTCTTATCAAAAGTAATTTGAGTTGCACGATTCCTTTGATGACGATCGTCCCTGCTTCTCGGCGGATCTCTTAAAAATATTGACCCAAACAACGTCGCTGCAAACATACAATTTGTTTTTAAACTATTTTCTTGTAAATGTTCATATAGGATGCAGAAAGAGATTAAATATAATATATTAAGTAAAACTAAATAATAGATAAAACTAAATAAAAATAGAGGTAATATGAATAATTTTACCAAGCGTTTTAACATCGAGTTCATTATCCTGTGTATGACTTAATAACTCTTGCAAAAATGAGCTGATATAAAGGAAAACTGTTCTTCTAGTCTCAGGTAGTTGCATTACAATCTGTGAACGAAAAATATATGTGATCTGATTTTGATCGTGTAGAATAATATTATACATAAAACGTTAGTTAATTTGGTTTACTTGTTTGCATTGTAAATAATTAGTTGCTGCAGATAGACAAACACTATGTAAGTTATATGGTATCAATGGTTCAGCAGTAGATTCTAAGAGTAGTAATAATGCTTCCGCTACTGAATGTACACCGCCAGCTATACATATTCAGAAAAATAATTATTAAGGAATGATAATGCAATAAAAATATGAACATACATATATACATATACATGCGAGCATATAGTACATATAACATACATAGTACAGAGAGGTTAATTTATTATAATCTCTTTTCATGCATTTATCTCCTATTTGTTATTCGAAAAAATGTTGATGTTTTCGATACAGCTTCTTATAATAATAAATATTTATTCGTTTAAATATGATTATAAACTATTTGATTATATCTCTAGTAATATATAAAGTAATATATAAAGTAGATCATATGACTTTATGAATTGTTCTTGGAATGATCAAAACTTGCTATGGTCGAAAATTAGTATTATTGGTACAGTAAAAAAATGATGTGTCTAAATGTATATGTATAATTAGTTCAAGAGAAGGAAATACTTCATAAACCGTTGATTTTTTGTAACTTTAGATTTATATACTTAGAATAATTAGAAAAATCACATTATATAAAAAGGATTTCTTTCAATTAAAAAAAAAATAATTTTTAATAAAAAAAATGTTAGATAATAGTACTATTATGTATGTCCT